ATTCCAACCCATGGAGAAGACCATAGAATTCTCAAGGACCCCACTCTCCTCAGCCATCTTGGATTTTCAGGGAGGCAGAGTTAGAAAGTGGGCTAGGGACTCAATAATCCTTTGCCAGTGGCATGAGATCTAATTTAACACCTCACCTTCTCTTCCATCCAGTCTCCTGAAGTGCTTGGAACAGAGTAGATTTGATTGGAGCGGTCACATCTCCCCTTCCCTTGGAAGGTTTTTTCATAATAATAATAATTGCCAACATTTATGTAAGGCTTCAAGGTTTGCAAAGGGAAAGGGAAAGGGAATAAGCATTTGTTGTTGTTGTTATTCAGTCAGGTTCCAACACTTCATGACCCCATTTGGAATTTTCTTGGCAAAGAAACTAGAGTGGTTTGCCGTTTTCTTCTCCAGCTCATTTGACAGATGAGGAAACTGAGGCAAACAGGATTAAGTGACTTGTCCAGAGTCACACAGCTAGTAAGTGTCTGAGGCCAGGTTTGAACTCATGAAGATGATTCTTCCTGACTCCAGGCCTGGCACTCTATCCACTATGCCACATAGCTGCCAAGCATAAATTAAGCACCTACTATGTGTGAGGCACTGTGCTAAGCACATTATAAGTCATATCATTTTTGTATACATGTAACACAACATATAGCATACAAAGCACACGTATAACATATACTTATATTTTATATATGCTTATATAAATATATAATATGATACATAAGTAAAAGTATTGTAAAAACACACTCCCTGCTCTCAAAAAGCTCACAGTCTAATGGGGGAGACACATGCAAATAATTATATACAAACAACATATATACAGGCATACATTGAAGATGATATCAGAGTCTAGGATTAAGATGGCATCAGAAAAGGTTTCTCAGAAGTTGGGATTTTAGCGGAGACTTAAAGGAAAACAAGGAGACTGAGAAGGAAGCTAGGTAGTACATTGGATAGAGTGCTGAGCCTGGAGTCAGGAAGACTCATCTTCCTAAGTTCAAATCTGACTTCAGACTCTTACTAGCTGTGTGACCCTGGACAGGTCACTTAGGCCTGTCGGCCTCAGTTTCCTCATCTGTCAAATGAATTGGAGAAGAAAATGGCAAACCAACTCCAGTACCTCTGCCAAGAAAACCTCAAATGTGGTCATGAAGAGTCAGGCATGACTGAAACAACAAAACAAAAGCAACAGGAAAACTGAAAGGTAGTGATGAAGAAGTGAATTCTAGACACAGGTAATTCCAGCCAGTGAAGATAGAGTCTGAAGGACCAAGTATCACTGGATTACAGCATGGTAGGGAACATACACCTCTATTGCCCCTTTGGGAGGCTCAGCCTTGGACCCTATTCATATACTGGCTCAAAGACCTTATGCTCTATTTTCCATGACTTCTCATGCATCCAAGACCATAGTCTCAGTTCTCTATTCTCCAAATACAAATCCTATTTCCTGCTGAGGGAGGGTAAGGGGTGGTCAGCCCTTTCCAAATACCTGATTAGCAATGAAGACCTGACCTCATCACAGGAGGCAGGTAGGGGGTGTGTCCAAAGTCTATTTAAGAGCACACTCTAGGTAAGTCAATCTTGGGTATTCCGTAAGTCCCTTCAATGCTACTGTGATTCACCCAACCACAGGCCTCTGGGTGGGATATCTATCTGTCCAGAACTAGGAAAGAAAGTAGGACTCCCCAGGTTCCAAGGCTTTCTCTGCTTCTCTGCACAGTCTCCAGAAAAGGCAATCCACCAACTCCCCAGCTAAGACAGAGGAGAAAGAGAAACTACTGGCCCCTCTCTAATGCCCTGCAAGTTACACCTTCTAGGAAGACAGGAACAGCTACCTGCTTTCCCAAGACTGAGTCCCTGCCTCTCTTCCAACAACTTGCTTCTGCAAACTAAAACCACTATTTATTTAAATGGCTCAGAGCTTCAGAGAGCTAAAAGGCAGAAACCTATAAACCTTCTGAGTCATAGATTCATAGAATGACAGATTGAAAAGGACTTTAGGAAATAGAAACATAGAATGTTAGAACTGGAAGAGATCTTATAGAGCATCTCATTTGACACTTTCATTTCACAGACAAGAAACTGAAACTTCAGCAGCCAGGCTGGACCATTCCAGAGCCAGAATGGGCAAGTAAAAAAAGACTCTATGATTTTGATAACAGCAGAAACCTGGCTGGCTGTAACAGCTAGCTGCTGTATATACCTTCAGAGGGATCTCAAGAGGTCTTTGAGTTAGACATGAAAAAGAGGTTTCTGATAGTTATAGACTAGAAAAGACTTAAGGCAGCGAGGTGGCAAGATGGATAGCGTGATGAGCCTGGAGTCAAGAAGACTCATCTTCATGAGTTCAAATCTGGCCTCAGACACTTCCTAGCTGTGTGACCCTGGGCAAGTCACTTAACCCTGTTTGCCTCAGTTTCCTCATCTGTAAAATGAGCTGGAGAAGGAAATGGCAAATCACTCTAGTACGTTTGCCAAGAAAACCCCAAATGGGGTCACAAAGAGTTGGACACCACTGAACAACAAGAAAAAAAAAAACATCATTTGGAAGAAGTTAGAGGATTTTTTTCCAGGATGGATTAGATCAATAGACCTTAGTACTGGGGACTGATGGGAGTCAGGGGAGGAGGCGAGATGAGAGCTGGTTCACTAGAAAGGACTCTGAGATCAAATCTGCCTCTGAACTTTTACTACATGTGTGATCTCAGGCAAGTCACTTAAAGATCTGATTATACTGGGGCAGTTAGGTGGCACAGTGGATAGAGCACTGGCCCTGGATTCAGGAGGACCTGAGTTCAAATCCAGCCTCAGACACATAACACTTACTAGCTGTGTGAGCCTGGGCAAGTCACTTAACCCCTTTGCCTAGCCAAAAAAAAAAAAATTAAATTAAAATAAAATAAAATTTTTAAAAAGGCTGGGGCAGCTAGGTGGTACAGTGGATAGAGCTCCAGCCTTAGAGTCAGGAGGACATGAGTTCAAATCTGGTCTCAGACACTTGACACTTACTAGCTGTGTGACCCTGGGCAAGTCACTTAACCCCAATTGCCTCACCAAAAAAGCAAAAAAAAAAAGATCTGATTATACTATGAGACAGCTCCCTCACTCTACCACCTTCCGAATCTCTGTTCTAGGAGAGCTTCCTCAGCAAGACTCTTCCTGCCCTAAGATTCTGAGCTAAATACCATCTGCCATAAATTGTATTTGCTTTACCCCAACTCAGAGGAATGCAGGTAAGTGCTCAGCCCTGCCAGAACAGAAGGGGAACATGTGGAGAATTTGGCTTCTGCTCCAAACTCTCTTGTTCTCCGATGAGCCTGAAACCAGAGCACTGATAGGCGCTGCCTTACAGAATTCGGTGAATTCCTTTTTAACTCTCATCCTTTGCCCAGGGACTGAGCATTTTAGACATCCTGGTGTAACTCTCTAGATAGGAAGCAGATGGGAAGTGCCCTCTGTTCTCCTAAAGTTTCATAGGCTTGTCTTCACTGGAGCTTGGTCCAAAATGAGAGAAATGAGATGTCCCCACCCCTACTCCTTTGCAGAGGTCAGAAGGCCACAGTTATGGAATTCTTCATGTCATGTCACATTTTTGTTTGATATAAGGAGAAGAGAGGAAAAAAGCAGGGAGGGGAGAAGAGAAAGAAAAGAAACCCATCTCAAAAAGAGAGCCCTAAAACCATAAATATAGGTGCACATGCACGTACACAGCTCCAACAACCTGGGGTTTGGGCAATGAAGGTGTCTGGAGGAGCTATTATGACTATTAGAGAGAATCAGTAACACATTGGAATTTCACATTGCTCAATCAGAGAGATCTTCCTAGAAGAAGATGCCTTTTCACTTTGAAGAGCAGAAGGAAGAGGTTTGGCCAGTGGGAGGGAGTATAAGTGATAATGGGTGTGTGGTAAGAATTGTGTAAAGGGTCATACGGAGAATCAGGTTGAGCAAAGGTAGGTCTGAGGGGATGGTTTTCCTGGCTAACATGAATAGCAGAGGCATGGAGAAGAGGAGGCAGCACAGACTGGTAGAGGGAAAGGAGGGGTGGGTAGTATAGATAGGACCCCCACACATGCATTGAGAAACCTCGGCCCCCCTCATTCCCCTGCTGCTGATGTATATGTATATATACATATGTATGTATGTGTGGTATGTGTATGTGTGTGTGTGTGTGTGTGTGTGTGTGTGTGTGTTCTCAATGCATCAAGGACCTATGGCCACCAGTGCAGAATTATCTAGGGCTCAGAGAAGGTAAATCCATAATCATGCATAACCAAGTCTCAGAAGTGGAATTTGAACCCAGAGCATCCTAACTCTAAATTCACCACTCTATCTGATATGTCATACTACCTCTCTTTTTACATGCAACAGATCATAGAATTATAGATTTAGAGCTGGAAGGGGCACTACAGGCCACTGAGTCCAACCCCTTCATCTTACATATGAGGAAACTGAGGCTGAGAAAAGTTAAGTGACTTGTCCAAGGTCTCACAGCATGTAAATCTCAGAGATGGAATTTGAACTCAGATCTTCCTGACTCCAAGTCCAGAATTCCATCTGCTATGCCATACCGCCTCTGTTACATGCAATAAGACTGTGAGACTAGGAGCTAGAAGAGATCTTAGAGACCATTGAGTCCAATTCCCTCATTTTACAAATTTTACAGGAGCCTAATGACTTATACAAGATCACACAGCTCATAAGTCTCTGGGATAGGCTTTGAGCCCAAGTCTTCCTGCCTTTCAGTCTAGCACCCTATGCTCTATACCAGGTGTCTCTCTTTTACATGTAATACAGAAGGAGACGCCATTTCATTGAGCAGCAATATACAGACAAGACCCTAGAAATCCCAGAGAATGACAGGCTAGTAAAGGTTGGGAAAAGGGGAAGGGAGAGAAGACTGGGTGTGAGCCCCATGCTAGCTCAGTAATTCCATAACCTCTATGAATACCAATTCAAGAAAAAACTGGACCCACAGCAACAGAGGATTTGCAAACAGAAGAAGGAAAAACTTTATTTCACAGAAAGAAACAGTACAATTGAGGATAGGTTACACAATACAACCTCTTCCCCTGGCTTCCACCTAGGAAAGTACTGCTGCAAAGCAGAGTACAGTGGGTTGGGAAGAAAGGAGAGGAGAGAAACACTAAGGAGAATTGAACAGGGCATGGCAGGGCCTACATTTGCCATCCCATTCCCAGGGCAAACACTGGAGTTTCCATCCTCCTCCCCACTGTGATTGCTCATGCTCTCAGCCAGGCAGGTGAGGGACTTTCTCTTTTGCCTATGGTGAAGATTTTGAAGATTTAAATTTCCCTTTTTGGGGAAGAAACCACCTTTCCATCCACTGATTCCTCCATGGTAATGTGGACCCTGCTGCTGCTGCTATCACCACCACCTTCTCCGCTAAGGGAACCTATTGGGGGGGGAAAAAGGTAGAAAGTGGAAACTACTAGAGGCAGGAAAACTCATATTTCTCCAGATTCAGGCAAAGCCTTTGGTCAGATCTGAGAGAGCCGGGAGACTCTGAGAACATCTCTGATAGGAAACTATTCATTTGTTCGCTGAACATTTACTTAGCACCTACTTTATATGATACTATGCACGGAGCTGAGGGAGATACAGACATATAAGACTGAGTCCCTGCCTGTAGCCATCCCTAAATCTATACAGAGGTCTTGGCACAACACTTGTGGTTGTGGTTTGTGCTTTGTTCTGGAAGAGGACCATGACATCAGGAAGCTGATGGTATGACTTGCAAGTGAAATAAATGGATTTGAGTGAGGGAGTGCTGTGCAAAGTCACCAACCTCACTTTCTCCTCCACAGCCATCTGGGTCTAGTGGTCACATATAGATCAGGACAGCTAGAGATGGCCCTTAACACAGTGCAGTTTGAAAAGGGATGGGATACAAAGACTTCAGCTTCTGGAATAAGAACTCACTATTTAACAAAAACTGCTGGGAAAGCTAGAAAACAGTATGGCAGAAACTAGGCATAGACCAACATCTTATACATATATCAAGATAAAGTCAAAATGGGTACACAATTTAGATATAAAGGCTGATACTATAAGCAAACTAGGAGAGCAAGGAATAGTTTACCTGTCAGATTTATGGAGAACAGAAGAATTTATGACCAAATAAGAGATAGAAAACACTATAAAATGCAAAATGGATAATTTTGATTACATTAAATTGAAAAGTTTTTGTACAAACAAAGCCAATGCAACCAAGATTAGAAGGGAAGCAGGAAGCTGGGAAACAATTTTTACAACCAGTATCTCTGATAAAGGCCTCATTTCTAAAATATTTAGAGAACTGAGTCAAATCCATAAGAATGTAAGTCATTTCCTAACTGATAAAGGGTCAAAGGATATAAACAGGCAGTTTTCAGATGAAGAAATTTAAGCTATCTATAGTCATATGAAAAAATGCTCTAAATCACTATTGATTAGAGAAATGCAAATCAAAACAACTCCGAGGTATCATATCACACCTATCAGATTGGTTAAGATGACAAAACAGGAAAATGATAAATGTTGGAGAAGATATGGGAAAATTGGAACACTAATGCATTGTTGGTGGAGTTGTGCACTGATATGAACTGATCTAACCATTTTGGAGAGCAATTTGAAACTATACCCAAAGGGCTATAAAACTCTGTGTACCCTTTGACCCAGCAATACCACTTCTAGATCTATATCCCAAAGAGATCATAAAAATGGGAAAAGGACCCACATGTACAAAAATATAGCAGGGTTTTTTTTGTGGTGGCCAAGAATTGGAAATTGAGAGGATGGATGTTCATCAGTTAGGAAAAACTGAACAAGCTGTGGTATATGAACGTAATGGAATACTATTGTTCCACAAGAAATGATGAGCAGACAAACTTTGGAAAAACCTGGAAAGACTTACATGAAATGATGCTGAGTGAAGTGAGCAGAATCAGGAGAATGTTATACACAGTAACAGCAACATCATGCGATGACTAACTTTGATAAACTTACCTCTTCTTAGCAATGCAAGGATCTAAGACAACTAAGACTTGTGATGGAAAATGCTATCCACATCCAGAGAGGGAACTATGGAGTCTGAATTCAGATGGAAGCACACTATCTGCTCTCTTTTTTTTAATTCTTCTTTCTTGTGGTTCCTCCCATTGGTTCTAATTCTTCTTTACAACATGACTAATGTGAAAATATGCTTAATATGAATGTATATGTAGAGCCTATATCAGATTGCATGCAGTTTTAGGGAGGGGAGAAAACTAAAAACTCAACATTTTATGGAAATGAATGCTGAACACTAAAAATTAATTAATTAATTAATTGATTAGTTTTTAAAAAGAAAAGAAAAGGGATGGGATAAACACATTTTGGTCACTGAACCATAAAATTGGGGTATTCCAGCCTGCCTTGATATTACTCATAAGATCATCATACATTTTAAGCCAGAAAGAACCTCCGATGTTCTCTAATCCAGGACTTTCATTTTATAGGCAGGAAAAATGAGGCAAAGAGAATTTAAGCAACTTGCCCAAGGTCAAACAAGAAGTAACCCCCAGGATAGAGCACCAGCCTTGGAGTCAGGAGGACCTGAGTTCAAATCCAGCCTCAAACACATAACACTTACTAGCTGTGTGACCCTGGGCAAGTCACTTAACCCCAATTGCCTCACCAAAAAAAAAAAAAGTAACCATCACAGGCAGGATTTGAACCCACATTCTCTGACTGCAAGGCCCAGGCTCTTTCCACTGTACTATTGGAAGGCTATTTTTTAAAAATGGCAACAGGATTGCTGAACCACTGTCAGCAACCTATCAACAAGCATTTCTTAGACATCAGCTATTTGTCAGGCTCTGTGTTAGATTCTAGGGACACAACTTGGTAAATATCTTGGAGGATAGAGAATGTGTAATAGTACAAGAACTGGACAGTCCTTTGCTCATGGCTGGTGTTCAATACATCCAATGATAGACTTTAGAGTTGGAAGAAACTTTATGGATCACAGAATCTAAGAGTTGGAAGGGACCTTGGAAGCCATCCAGTTCAACCTAAATCTCCTCTATGATATACCCAAAAAGTGGTTGATCTGTACTGGACACCCTCCGGAATATCAATATCTTTCCTAAAATGTGATGCCCAGAATGGAACACAATAGGCTAGATCAACACAAGGGTGTGCTGGAGCCAGCTTGAACCCCCTCCAGAGATAGTAGATAGAGCACCAGCCCTGGAGTCAGGAGGACCTGAGTTCAAATCTGGCCTCAGACACTTGACACTTACTAGCTGTGTGACCCCGGGCAAGTCACTTAAACCTATTGCCTAGACAAAAAAAAAAACCCACAAACAGAGAGATAATTGTTAAACTTTCTGTGTGAGTACTCACATACCTCAGGAATCAGCAAACTACAAGTCAGGGCACAATTTACTATTTTGTTAATTGTCTAAACTTAAGAAAGTGATGCATAAATGTAATAACGTAGATTAAGCTTTAAGAGTGTGTCTTCTACATGTATTTGGTGGAAGGAGCTTGGTTGTTAGACATTTATCAGCACACTGTTGGAATGGGTTCTTAACCTTTTTTATCATAAACCCCTTTGGCACTCTGGTGAAGTCTAGGAAATTCTTCTTGGAATAATATTCTTAAATTCATAAGATAAAATATATAGGATTATAAAGGAAATCCATTATATTGAAATATAGTTATCAAATTATTCAAAAAACAAAGTTAAGGAACTCAAATTAAGAATCCCTGATCTTGATGTCTGACCAGGAAAAAAGTGCACTGTCACCTTCTTAGTACTAGAAGGTCTGCCCTTCTCACTAATAATCATCTGGCCCTGTTCTCTTCAGTTCAGCCCAGCACCTTTCCCTGTGTGTGATATTGTCTTAATAAATGTGGAGGGAAGGAAGGAAGGAAGGAAGGAAGGAAGGAAGGAAGGAAGGAAGGAAGGAAGGAAGGAAGGAAGGAAGGAAGGAAGGAAAGGAAGGAAGGAAGGAAGGAAGAACATCTCTCACTTTGAAGAGGGGGCAACAAAAGGAAAAATAAGAGTTTATTGGGGAAGAAAATGTAGATCAGAATTGGAGCAGCCACTTTGTCGTGAATAGGTGTAAAGATGCATCCAATGCTCTGCCCCTCAGGCTCTTGGGAAAGAATCCATAGCCATCTCCATATTTACCAAACCTCAGCCAGCTCTTGCCCAAGCCAGGAAGGTCAAATTCTCTTACCTGCTCTAGTACTGAAACCAAACATCCTAGAAAAGAAGAAAGAGGAAGAGTGCATTCAATACAACAAATATTGTTAACTGCCCACAATGGGCAAAGCCCAGTGTGAGGTCCCCCTGGGATAAAGTTCAACGTAACCACTTTCTTTAAGGTTGACCTACGACATTCTTTCCTTGTGACTTACATGATGCAAGTATAATTGATCTCATTTTACAGATAAGGAAACCGAGGTTCAGATGTGTTAAATGACTTGTTTATTCATAGGATTTGGAGCTTGGTGGAGATCATTTAATCCAATTCTCTAATTTCGTAGCTGAGAAAACTGAGGCACAGAGAGATTAAGTAATTTGCAAACAGTGATAAAGTTAAGATTCAAACCTACCAGTCAGTGACAAGTGGTTACAATCAGAGGACAAGTGGTTATGTCCTCTTTACTGGGGTCCACATGGGCAAGAGCAGAGCAGCAGCCATTTGAAACCTAGAGGAAGCTGGGTGGCCCAGTGGACAGAGTGCTGAGCTTGGAGTCAGGCAAATCTGATCTCAGATCCTGCCTCAGACATTTACCAGCTGCATGGCTCTGAGCAAGTCACTTACTTCTTTGGGCCTCAGTTTCCTCATCTGTAATTTGAGAGGGTTGAGCCAAATCTTTTCAAGTTCCAGTGCCTTACGGTCCTAAAAGTCTTCTCTCCAAGGGCACTGTCTAGACTGGATTCTCAAACCCCTCGCCTTCAACCCTCCTGCCTTTAAGGAATCACAAGCCCAGTGATGGTTCCACCAGGAGCATGGTCCCCATTCCACAGAGTGGCCCCCAGGCCTTTTGCCTACTTGGGGTCCTGGCCCTCCAGCAGATTGTGGTATGTGGCGATCTCCTGATCCACCCGGGTCTTGATGTCCAGGAGCATCTTGTGCTGCTGGTTCTGACTTTCCATCTCATTGCGGAGCTCACCCAGCTGGATCTCAATGTTGCTAATCAGCTCCTGCATCTGCTGCAGTTGGGTAGCATAGCAGTACTCCATCTCTGCCAAAGAGCTCTCCAGCCGGGCTTTCTGATGAAGTGATGGAGATTTGTAAAGCATGAAAAGCGTCTGACCCAGCAGGGATGCAGGAGGAGCAAAGAGTCTGGGGAAGGAAGGGAGTGCCTACCATGCTGAGCTGGGACTGAAGCTCAATCTCCAGGCCCTGGAGCGTGCGTCTCAGGTCAGTGACCTCTGTCTTGCTGGTCTGGATCATTTCAGTGCTGGACGCCACCTCTTTGTTCAGTTCTTCAGTCTACAAGGGTCCCACAGAGATGGATGATCCCATCCCAATGACAGCTCCCCGAAACAATATGATCCCAAAAGACCACCAATGAAGCACTGAGGGTCTCAAGGAGGGGGTCTTGCACGTGGATTCACCTTGCTAAAGAACCACGTCTCAGCATCTCGACGATTCTTCTCGGCAATGGCTTCATACTGCTCTCGCATCTCAGAAAGCACACTGGTCAGGTCTACCCCCGGGGCTGCATCCATCTCCACATTGACCTGGCCCATCAGCTGGTTATTATACTCTTTCATTTCCTGAAGGGATGGAAAGAAGAACTCAGGGCATCATACTTCTAGCCCTGAGGTTTAGAAACAGGGAAAGGAAGAAGGGATTCTATGGGCATCTTTCCATATCATTCATGAACTGGTGGAGAAGGTGATTCTTCTTTCAGAAACAGAGGAGGGGACTAATCATCCAAGTTTTCCAAGGGAGAAACTGAGTCAGGGTGATTTACCCAAGGTTATTTCCTATTTCAGTGACCTGGCAGTACTGGCCACCCTCATTCCATTGTTGTTGGCTTAGGGAGAAGGAGAACTGAGCAAGTCCAGGTATAAATACTCTGCTGGGACCTGAGAGAAGCCTTGAATTATAATTCTCTCCTGGTCCCCCAAATCTCTGATAGGACACACACTGTGGCTATATCCCTGAAGAGCTGAGCTCTTCGTCCAGGCTGTGGCTGCTGCCAGGAAACTGTGTGAAATGAGACCATCCAGAAACTGCCCTGTCATCCCTCAGATCCTCCCCTGGGTCACTCACATGCAGTCCTGGACAAGGAGGAAAAACTGGATTAAAGGTCCAGTGTTCAAATTCTAATTCTGACAATTACTACCCATGTGACTTTGGGCAAGTTGGCCGGGGGGGGGGGGTTCTCTAAGTTCCTTCTAACTAAATCTAAACCTATGCTCCCACAAGATGGAGGCTTAATGGGCCTCAGTCCATTCTTCTGCCTGCCTCCTGCTTTCCTCTCACCTCCTCAAAGTTCCTCTTCAGGTAGTCCAGCTCCTCATTCAGGTTCTCAACCTGTGTCTCCAGCTCAGCCTTGGCCAGGGTCAGCTCATCCATCACTCTGCGCAGGCCACTGATGTCAGCCTCCACACTGTGACTTAGGCTCAACTCATTCTCATACCTGGGAGATTAAGAAAAAGTTCAGAACCAGAAATAGCAGAGCAGTCGCATTTCTTTGCATGAGAGTTTTGGCCAGAGAAGGGAAGAGGAAGGAGAGACAGAGAGGGAATGAGGGTGAGAGAAAGGGAAAGAGGGAAGGAAGGAAGAAGGGAGAAAAGGAAGGAGGGAGGGAGGGAAAATAGGAGGGAGAAATGGAGGGAGGGAGAACAAAAAAGGGGGGGTAGAGGCATGAACTGACTTGAGTCTGAAGTCATCAGCAGCCAGCCAAGAACTGTCAAGCTCCAAAATGACCCGACAATTGTCAAAGGTGGCTCCCTGGATCTGTAAAAAGGAGAGACCAGAACCTCCCTGGAGATCTCCTCCCCCATTGTCTCCTAAAGGGCTTTCCCACCCCTCTGCCCCAGGCATTTCCCTTATCAGGTATTAGTCCTGCTGGCTGAGTCTGCCCAGAAGAGCCTTCAGAATCTAACTCCAGCCCCTCGGGGTCTCACGGCATAGCAGCCCTACACAGACCCTTCTCCCCTCCCTCCCCCATAAGGGCCAGAACCAGGCACCTCCCTGCAACTATGCACAGAGGAATTTGAGAGAGATAAAGCTGCCCTCAGGAATCCTCGGCTGAGCCAGTAAAGGTATCTAGCTAGCAGGCTAGAGAACAAGGAGTTTAAGCCTGGTTGGTGGTAGAGGGGAAGAGAAGCCCTTAACAATAAACAGAGCTCCTAATTCTAATCTCTCCATTTTATTTCCTCAGCCTACATACACTGTCTATGGAATGCCAGAGGTGTCAGAATGTCTGAGGTGGAGAGGCCCTGAAAGACCATCTAGGGCAGAAATTTTTAACCTTTGGGGCTTCATGGACCACACCTTTGGGCAGCCTGGTGAAGCCTACGGACCACTTCTCAGAATAAAGTTTTTAGGGGGCAGCTAGGTGGTGCAGTGGATAGAGCTCCGGCCCTGGATGCAGGAGGACCTGAGTTCAAATGTGACCTCAGACACATAACACTTACTAGCTGTGTGACCTTGGCCAAGTCACTTAACCCCATTGCCTAGCCAAAAATCAAAAAAAAATAATAAAGTTTTTAAAGTCATAAAATACATATGGTTGCAAAGGAAAACAACTAGATTGAACTAAGACGTTATTTTTTCCCATCCAAGTTCAAGTACCCCCTAAAATCTTTCCACAGACACCAGGTTAAGAAACCCCTGATCGAGTCCAGCTTCTTCATCTGAAATGTAGCATGGTGTAGTAGGCTTAGAGTCAGGAGATCTGGGTTCAAATATGATTTAGAAATTTACTAAGTGTATGAGGATAGACAAATGACTTATCAGAGCCCTGACTTTCTCCATCTGTAGAATGGAGCTGTTATTTATACTGTCCTACTCATAGAGCTTGCCTGAGGAAAGTGCTCTTAAGAAGGGAGCCCTGCTCAGTAGTACTACAGCTAGGACTGTCTTTTGGCATTTATTGTATCCCCAGCACTTAGCATGATGCCTAACATACAGTAGGTACTCAATCAACATTTACTGACTGACTGACTGACTGGAACCCAGGTCCCTCTTTCTGTAAGCAGTTGCCACAGAGGATCATTGCACACCCACAATTTCTTCTTTTCAAGAAAAAGTCCGCAGACAGAGCCAAGTCATCTTGTTGCAGAGAATGACCAAGCTGAAGGTTTGCTTTTTCTGTCCAGGAGGGTCCCGTATTCTAACCGTGCTCTCAGTCTTAAAGAATGAATAACACACCCTATGTGTTCCCATGCTGCCAATCAGAGCAATTATCCCTAGCTTCTAACAGCTGATGAACAGCTCCCATGTCTCCAGACACTTCATGTACAATGAAATCATTGTCTGAAACTAAAATAATTGCTTTGTATCATCAGTAACTCTGAAAGCAGAAATATGTGTGGCTCAACTAGGGCCCTGGTTGAATGACATCTCTGTCCAGCTCACAGTCCTATCTCGTCAAGGAGCTCATTGATGGTCTTGAAATAGGGACTGTAATCCCGCTCAAGGTCAGTGGGACTTTGCTTCAGATGCCAGTCTCGGATCTTAACCTCAAGATCTGTATTGGCCACCTCCAGAGCCCGAACTTTGTCCAGGTAGGATGCCAGGCGGTCATTGAGGTTTTGCATGGTGGTTTTCTCATTGCCAGTCAAGAGTCCACCTTCTCCACCACCCAAGTCAAAGCCGCTGCCCAAGCCTCCTCTATAACCTCCATAAACCCCTCCACCAAAGCCATCGCTCATTCTACCACCGTAGCCCCCAGCCAACCCAGAGGAGACAAAGCTATCTGAGGAGGCAGAAATCTGACCAACACTCCCTAGGAGACTTCCCCCTCCATATCCACCACCAGCCAGGAGAGAGGTTCCCCGAGTGAAGCCCCCACCAAAGCCACCCCCATAGGTAGAAGAGCTCTGAAGGAAGGTGGTGCTCATGGCTTCAGTACCCCCGGCCTCAACAGTAAGGAATTATAGAGCTTCAAGGAGAATCAGGAAGAAGTCTCTCTTACCCCTAAGCTGGAGCTATTTTTATACCAATTCCTTTGGGTGCTGAGTGACCGCACCCCCCAGCCCTTGCCACCCAGATTCTCCTCCCCCCAAAGAAGAAGCCAGCTCATTTATCATTCCACACACTCACACACAGCTGCCCATATACCTCAAGGAGCCCTGTGGAGTTGGGTTGTTTGTTGTGTTTGTTTGTGTGTGTGTGTGTGTGTGTGTGTGTGTGTTCTGTGTGTATGGTTTTTTTTTAATTTAACAAAAGAGATGATTCATAATTAATGATGTTTTGCTGGAGGGCACGGTTTTGACACTTGGATTACAGTCTTAACTCCACACCCCAAAAGGAAAAAAAAATAACAGGAGAACACTCTACCACTCCCCCAGCTTCTGGATGACTTTGCCCACAGTAAGATGCTTAGGATCTCTTGTGTACAAGCTGCTCATTGTGTACAGAGTTTCTCTCTGGTGCCTACCCCACCCTAGGAGCTCCAATCCCTCAGCACCATTTGGGTTTCTGGGTCTAGCGGCACCAATGCTTGTCCCCCCCCATTGTTTGACCTGAGCTCCTGTTCCGTCTCCATTTCGTTCTTCCGGCCCTTGGGGAGACAAGTCTAAAAAAACCAACAGTTGCTGGACTTGTCCTAGTAGAGGGCAAGACAGAAGGGCAATTTTATGCTAAAGGAGGGAGATGGGAAGGAAAAGGAAAGGGAACAGGCCTACCTGAGGCTGTAGATGGCCACCAGAAAGTGCCACTTCACAATCAATCACTAAGCATTTATTAAGAGCCTACTATGCATCAGCATCGTGCTAGTCAGAGGACATAGACATACATAAGAATTTTAAGATATATACAAAATATAAATATATAAAACATATATAAAATAACAATATATATAATATATATTATATATGCAAAGAATGATGGAGTAAGGGCTACTGATCAGGGAAGAGTCAAGGAGAGTTTGGATTAAGGATTTAAGTAGCTAGGTGGATAAAGTGAATAGAGTGCTGGATTTGACGTCAGGAAGACCTGAGTTCAAATGTGGCCTCCGACACTTACTAGCTGCGTGATCTTGGGCAAGTCACAGCCATTCTGTGCTTCCATTTCTTCATCTCTAAAAATGGGGGTAAAAATAGTGCCTATCTCCCAGGCTTGTCCTAAGGTTCAAATGAGATAACATGTAAACTTCTACGCAAAAATGATATATAGAAAGACATGGGGAGGGAAGGAGAGAGAGAGAGAGAGAGAGAGAGAGACAGAGAGAGAGAGACAGAGACAGAGAGAGACAGAGAGAGACAGAGAGAACTATTGTAATAGACTGACATCTCCCACATCTCAGACCAAAATTCTGCTACTGCTTCTTTTCTTCCTCCAAATTTCAGAATTTAAAAAGCAAAAGCAGCCAGAATGACATCCAGAAACTCCCTGCCCTGCATCATCAACATAATCTTTCACCCTTTCCCCGACCCCCACTGATACTGACATTCCAGGTGATGTAAAACAGCCTCCAGGCTGACAAGAGGCTGATTGAGTCCCTGCCACCTGCCAACTGAACATATCACTGAACTCTGCTTGCTTTGGGGACAGGTTGAGGCAAACCACCCATAGATAACACTGGGGCTTGTTCCAGAAAGCCCCTACCTCCCTCCTCCCCATCCCCAGAGGCATGTCACTACCTACCAGGCTCAGCTTAACCCCTGTTTGCTCTCTCAAGAGCTGAAAGGCTTGGGGAGTATTCCAACACAGAAGTCCCTATTTTGAGGGATAGGAGTGACAAAAGGAGAGTTTTCTAAAAAGGAGAGTCATGGCCGTATATAGGAATAGGAGAGAATTTCTCAGCCTCCATAACATTATCATCTCTCTGGACTTGGAGTAGGAAAAACCTGAGTTCAAATCCTGCCTCAGACACTTACTAGCCCATGTGACCCTAGGTAAGTCACCTAAGCTCTCAGCCTCGGTTTCTTCATCTATAAAATGGGAACAATAATAGCAACTACCTCATAGGATTCTTGTGAGGATCAAATGAGATAATATAAGTAAAATGCTTCACAAACCTTAAAGATCTATATAAAAGCTAATCATTATTATTGTTGTTGAAATCTATCTTTCACTGACCCCACATAGCCTTGGAGTCACTCTCTGGACTCTTCCTGCTTTCTCTTCCTTTCTCCAGCTGCTCAGAGGGCTCCCAATAGGTCCAGGAGCAACTGGATTGTCCTCCCTAAACAGAAACCCCACTGAGATGCCGGGATGCTGGGGTGATGGGGGGAATACCCAGGTTCATTGGTCAGGAGGTTTAGGTTTTAGCTTTCAGATACAAAGTACAAGGCAAGCCTAACACCTGAAAGCAGTTACCCATCTGTGGCCACTCAGGTGGGCCAGCTCAGAAAATCAGTCAGTCAGTCAAGCAATGAGCATTAATTAAGCACTTACTGTGTGCCAGGCACTGTGCCAAGCACTAGGGTCACAAAGTAAGGTGTATTGGTGCTGATCTATATGTAGGATCGTAGCTTTAGTGCTGGAAGGAACTTAGGGACAACCTAGCCCAACCTCCCCTCATTTTACAGATGGAGAAACTGAGGCCCAAGGAGATTAAGGGCCCTACCCAAAGTCAAGCATATAGTAAGTGTCAAAGGCAGGATATGAATCCCAGTTCTCTTAATAACAGAAAAAATGTCCTCATGCTGTATCAGACTGTTGGTATGCTACATTTACACACACACAAAGCAGAAAGTAAGCTTCTTGAGGGTAAAGACTTTCATTTTTTTTCCTTGTATCAACAATGCCTGGCACAGCACCTGGTATACAGTAGGTGTTTAATAAATGTTTGTTGGATGGAATCTATAAGGATCTCATGATAGAAGAAGACAAACACTTGGCAGGGGCAGCATGGAGTATAGCTAGGTTGCAGGTCCCACCCCATTCCCTCTGCTATAGAAGAGGAGGGTGGGCTCCTAGGACTCTGCTCTCCATTGTCCCATCCATCTCCCCACAGATTTCAGAGCAGGAAAGAAAATGGATGGCCAGGCTCTTCCACCAGCCAGGATTTGCTCTGTGTTTTTCCTTTCTTGGCACTGGGAGAACCAGACAGTGACATATTGTAAATGAGAAGGTGGTAGGGCAGTGTTTCTTGTAGGGAAAGAAAAATAATCAAACTCTGGATCAGCCAGAGCTCATTAAAGCTTCCACAGACATTACAGACCAGCAATTATCACACTCACATCTCTCTCTGGGCCCCGGGGAAAAGTAGAACTGGACTTCTGCCTACTCTCTCTTTCTCTGCACCCTTCAGCTCCTCTCAAATCTATCCCCCTTCTTAGGCCTGGGAGAGCTCCTGTAAGGAGACCCAAGGAAGGAAAATTCTCCCTTTTGTCAAATGAGGAGAGGTAGAAAACTTGGGTCCCCCAAATCCAGAGGTGTTAGTCTCCCTGAAAAACAGCTGCTTTGTGCTCAAGCTGTGGGTGAGGCTATCTGATTGGGGGACAGGGGCGGGAGCCAGCCGTATGTTGGAGGCAGCTCAAACCTGCTGCAGAAAGCCTATTGCTAAATTTTCAGTGTAAACATTTACAACACACAGCAAACCTACAACAAAACAATTGTTTTGTTTATATTATATTTATATATTATTTTATATTTACATTTTATGTTTATGCTATGTTTATATATTATAGTTTACATTATATTTAGGAAAGTGAGAAAATGTTAATATTGCAGATTAAACTTAAAAGTATGTTGTGAACTTTTTTTCTCAGAGTATTAAATATTAACCAGCACATACCTAGAGGGGAAGCCCCCTATTCCAAAGGCTAAAAGTAGGAGACGATGAAATTTCCTTTGGCCCAGGTTAGGCTCCAGTCCCAGGCCCTTTCATGGCCACTACAGAGGTGCCCCTCTCCATGGCAAACACCAGACATTCCTGGCAGACGCTGTGGAAGCCTGCTGCCTGATTAAAACCAACTAGATCCCCTTCCCTTAGGCCTCCTGGCAGACTACTTCCTGGAAGGGTCTTTAGTATGCTGCTGCTGCCTCTGAGGCTTCTATTTCTGTCACCCTGTGTCTTCTGAAGCTGCTTCCCCAATGCTGACTCAGCTCCTACAGACTGGAGGCAGTTCAGCAAATCTGGGCCCACTGTCAACATACACACACACACACACACACGCACGCACACACACACACACACGCACGCACGCACGCACGCACAAACGCACATACATGCACAGGGCTATCTTTCTCCAGCCCTGGAGCCCTGTTTCCCAGTCCCCTGTCCTGGCTTTGTGTACCCAAACCACACCCCTGGAGCCACATACCAGGAAGTGACAGGTGGGTGAGGGGAAAGTTCCTGTGGTGTTATGGCCTGGAGCCAGATTTTCCAGGGAAAAAGGACTGACCATCAAAACCTAGCAGTTGCAAGGTAAAGGGTGCAATCTTGTCTGCCTCAAGGGCTAGAGTGGGAGCATGGAGGTTTTCTGAGAATTTATCTTGGAAGAAGGAAGGACCAGTAAAGAGGACAAGTCAGAGAGAAGAGGGCTAGGGAGCTGAGAAAAGGACTCCTACTTTGAAGGTGTCTCAGGACACAGGGGGAAAAAAAAAGATTGAGGAACTCAGATGTCACAGAGGAAAGAGTACCACAACTGCAGTCAAAAAGCCTCATCTTCCTCAGTTCAAATCTGGCCCCAGACACTTACTAGCTGTGTGACCCTGGGCAAGTCACCTAACCCTGTTTGCCTTGGTTTCCTCATCTGTAAAATGAGCTGGAGAAGCAAATGGCAAACCACTTAAGAATCCTTGTCAAGAAAACCCCAAATGGTGTCACGAAGAGTCTGGACAAGAGTGAACAACAGTTTCTAAATCTCGGATAGATTCTTAGACTACTTGATTAGTGGATCTGGTGGTTGGCTGGCTAGCTTTCTAAACAGCACCAGCAGGGAGCTAGGGGCTCCCTTAATCCTTCTCCTTCCTTTCTCCCCTCCCCCACCCCCACCTGTCATTGTCTTCTCCAAGGCCTTAGCCTTCACCTTGAGAACTGGGAGAAATGTCTTCTTTTATTCACTTCTAATTGGTATTATTAATTGTCAACTTAGTTATAAATTATGGGTGCAGAATCCTACCCCATCAGGGGCACTTTGTACCAGGAAGCTGGTATTTCTGTATCCCTCAGTCAGCATTAGGCCCAGACCTCAGCCCAGGGGCCTGGGAAGGGTGGGATTAGGGGCCTTGGGAAAGCAGCTGGATCCTACCAGAAGTTCTGGGCTCAGGGACTGGCTGGGAGACTGAGGGGTTGTAAAGGGCAGAGGTTCTAGTTCTCCCTAATCTGGAAGAGCCCTTCCCACCCTGCTGCCAGGGCATTGGGAGCCAAGCTACTGGCATTTTTCCCAAATGCTGAACTGAACCTTGACTCTTAACTAGGGGTAGCCTATGTTGGCAGCTGCCCAGGACACCCCACAAAAAAGGGCAGTGCCGGAGAGCACACCCCCCAAAGAGGGCAGGGGAGAACAAAGGACACTCTTTCATCTTCAATTTTATTAGGCCATATCATTTAATGCCATAAAATTGTCATCTCCATGGCATGCCTCCAAAGAACAATAACACACAGGGGCAAAATTTTCAAACTCTACCTAGGGTAGACAAGCCCCTCCATGCCCTCCAACCTGTCTTTGCTTGGCCACGGGCCTCAAAGTTCCCCGGGGACCAGGGCTGCCTTCCTGATCCCTCTAATCTGGGATGGTGGTCTAATTTCCCCTCTTTTCTCTCCCTCACTCCTGTTCCTAATCAGCTGCCAAGCTTAGTCATCTCTACATCCAAAAACTCTCTCCCATTCCCAGCTACTAATGCCTTCTCCTCGAAGATCCTTCCACCTATGCTGAATACATCTTTATATACTCAGCCATTTGCATGTCTTCTCCCCCATTAGAATATATGCTTTATAAGAGAAGGAGCTATTTGTGCCTTTCTTTGTATACCCAGTGCTTAACATAGTGCCTCCACAAAGAGTAGGCACTCAATAAATGCTTGTCCATTGCCTATCATTTCAGTTCTCTCCACTCACAAAACCACTACACTTGTTCTGGCCCTCATCACCTCTATCAGGACAACTGCAGGAGTCTCCAAATTGGTTTCTCTCTCCCTCTACATAGCTGCCAAAATAATCTTCCTAAAGCATACATCAAACTATGTCATTCTCTTGGTCAAGAAACTTCAATAGCTCCCTATTGACTCCAGGATAACACACAAACTCATCAACCTGGCATTTGAAACCCTTCACAATCTGACTCCAGCCTACCCTTCCCAGGTTTATCTCACACTGTTTTCTTTTATGCACCCACCTTCCGGGGGAACTGAGAGAGTTCATTCACTGAACTCGGCATTCCACCTCCTCTCTCCTATCCCATCGGGGGATGCTGACCTTTGTGCCTGCTGACCCTCCCTCCCCCAGATGCACTCCCTCTACCTTTCTGTCTCTTAAAATCCCTAACTTTCTTAAAGGCTCTGCTGAGGTACCACCCTCTACAGGAAGCAATTCCTCATTCTTCCACATACTACTCAACAGCTCTTCAAATTAGCTTTTATTTGCTTCTCCCTTTACATATTATATCCCATAGCCAAAACTCCTAGTTGAATACTTGGGGCAGAAAGTTGTGGTTGGGGTTTTTTTTAATTTTTGTCTTTGTAAACTCAGCCTATGAAAGGCAACAGTACAATGAATAAGTGAACCTACTTTGGAGTTTTGAATTCAAATCCAGACTTTGGCACAGACTATAGGTATATAATTTAGCCCCTCAGTGCCTGAGAAAGCTCTCTTAGGCTAAGTTATAGACAAATTTCCAACTCACAGCAGTGAAGGGAGTTTCCACACTGGGAGTGCCTCACACTGAGGAAATCACAGGTCTGAGAAAATAAATCCACAGGATCAATTAGCCCCATGCCTTGCACTTAATGCTTATTTAATTGAATGTATTTATCAGGCCCTGCAAATATATTTATGGGATATAAAAAATAAAAGTAAGGAAAAAATCAAGATGAGTAATGTGGGGTACTGGGTGTGAGGAATGGGAGCAGGGTACTGGCTCCAAGGCAGGAACACTCCCACTGTCAGTCCCAATATGTTATAGAAAACATTCCGAAGCCTGTTGGGAAGGGACAAGCAATATGTCCAAAGGACTCCTTTCTTGTACCTGGCTCAGGACACAGGAATTCGAAGATCTTAGAGGTCTCCATAGAAATAACTCCTAACAGACACTTGACACTAGCTACGTGATCCTGGGCAAGTCACTTAACCCCAACTGCCTCACCAAAAAAAAAAAAGGAATAAGAAAGAAAAAAGAAATCACTCCTAAGCCCAGGTACTGTGAATACTGCTGAAAGAAGAGGTAAAAAATAAATGAAGGAGAAGAGAGACAGGAAAAAGGAGGGAGGAAAAGGAGAGGAGAGAGGAGAGAGGAGAGAAGAAGTAAAGGAGAAAAGACAAGAGAGAAGGTAGAGGGAGGAAGAAGAGGCAAGAGGAAGGACAGAGAAAGAGGAGGAAAAAAAGAGAGGCTAGGCCCGTCCATATGGGCTCAAAGAAACTAAACCAACACTGTTTCCTTAAGGTCAGAAGTTTTATTAGGGGAGATATGGGAATACATCCAGGGTGCTACCCTCTCCCACCCAGACATGCTCTAATGTGGAAGCCCTCACTTGGCTGCTTCCTCACCCCTCTTCAGAGGGCCCTGTAACCAGGACTCTCCATGCCCAGGAGCCTCCTGTGACTCAGAGGGCTTTGGGGGCTGTAGGTGCACTGTTATCATGGGAATCATGGCCCTCCAGGAGGCTGCGGTAGGTAGCAATCTCCCGCTCCAGACGACTCTTGATATCCATGAGGAGCAGGTATTCTTGGTTCTGGCGTTCTGTGTCGGCTCGGATGTCACTCAACTGGGCCTCGATGCTGCTGATGACAGCCTGTATCTGTGACAGCTGGGCCCCATAACGGGCCTCTGTTTCTGCCAGCGTGCCTTCAAGAGCAGCTTTCTAAAGACAGAAAAGAAGGGAAAGAAGGAACATTGAGAAGGGATGAGTGGAAAGTTTTGTTTGACCACATCAATTCCAATAGAAGAAGCATCCAATGGAGATGTGGACACAGCCTAGATCCCCAGGGTTACTAGTTTACAGCAAGTGATGGAGAGGACAGCTTAGAGAATCCAACCCTGCCTCAGGCTTAGATATCACTAGAAAGCATACCTTCCAGGAATTAGTGCTGTGTGTCGATCACCCAACCGTCGATCACTACATACCATGCTGAGCTGAGACTGCAGCTCGATCTCTAGCCCCTGAAGGGTCCGCCGGAGGTCGGTGACTTCAGTCTTACTGGTCTGGAGCTGTTCCGTGTGGACGGCTACTTCTCGGTTCAGCTCCTCTGTCTGAAATGAGGAAGACCAGGGAGTGAGTTTTTTTAGGTAGGATTTCTGGGGGAATAAATAGCCCAGCCCTTGGCATTGCCAAATCTTGAGTTCTTCTCCCACACAACACCCTCCTCCTCCCCACAAACTCATCTTTACCTTGTTGGTGAACCAAGCTTCGGCATCACTCCTGTTCTTCTCAACCATGGCCTCATATTGGCTTCTCATATCCGTCAGGATCTTGGCCAAGTCGATGCCTGGCGCTGAGTCCACCTCCACACTAACCTGGCCACCCACCTGCCCACTCAGAGCACTCATTTCCTGCAGAGACACATAAGGAACTACATTCAGCTGGCTGGGCTTTGGCAGGGGGGTAATGGGGGTTGGGGCCTCCTCAAGTTCCCTCTAGCTAATTCCTAGGTGATAAAACTGGATTCCAATTCAGATCTGCTATCTTCAGATTCAGAGTTTCAATGTATCCTTCCTGAATGGATACATTCACTATCATCCATGACTCTCTACCTCTTTCCTTAATGGTGCTCAGGGTTGTTTAGAGAGTGTAATCATAATAGGGAAAGGGCCCTTGAAAAGCTGGGGGCTTTTAAAACATATGCCAAGAGGTGTCACCAGCCCCTGGGATGGGAGATTAGGTAACCAGGATGGCAAGAAAGTTCAGTGGATGGGGTGCAGGGTGAGGATTTAGACACCTCTTGACCTGGGCCTGCCCTTACCTCTTCATGGTTCTTCTTGAGGTAGGCCAGCTCCTCCTTCAGTCCTTCAATCTGCATCTCCAGGTCAGCCCTGGACAGGGTCAGCTCATCTAGCACCCTGCGCAGGCCATTGATGTCAGCCTCCACACTGAGACGCAGGGCCTGCTCAGTCTCAAACCTTGCAAAGGGAACAGGTCGAGTAAGTGGGGGGGGGAGGGGGGCGCCTCCCTGCTTTCATAGAATTCAGAAGCCATGGAGAATAATCTTACAAGAAGAAGGGAGGTAGAACCCCTACCCCACCCCCTGCTTCCTTGGACAGAAAAGCATAGCTATCACCAAACAGCACATACTGCCCTCACAGCAGGTACCTGGCATCCCCCTCACCTGGACATCCTTTGGCTCTCTGCACCCACCCCTGAGCAGCAGAGGTACTCACTTGGTTCGGAAGTCATCCGCAGCCAGCCGGGCATTGTCAATTTGCAGAACAATCTTCGAGTTCTCGATGGTGGCACCAAGAATCTAAAAGACAGAAAATGGTCACAGACTGAGCCTGCAGGTGTTGCCCAGAGCAATCCAGGCAAGCACACAGAAGTCACACTGCCCAGATGACTCATCCAGAGCTGAGAGGACTCAGGCTAAATTAAGTCAGAGGTGGCAGGTGTGCCACTGGGGGAAATCCTACAGAGGTCAGGATGAAAAGGGATTTGGGGAAGTGAGTCAGAGGCAAGAAGGGAAAGAGGCTGAGAGAGCTGAAGCCAAGAAAAAGAGGAGACAGTGTGGTAACAGTGCTAAGAGCATAAGATTGAGGATCAGGCTATGTTCATCCTAATCCCAGCCCTGCTGCTGATTTTCTACCCTCTCAAACAAGTCACTTCTCTCTGCTCCCTCAGTTTGCTCATCTGTGAAATGAGAGGGGTGGGCTAGATTCTTAACCTGAGGTCTATGAACTTTATACACATATATACATATGTATATATATGTATATATACACACATATGTATATATGTCATGTGTGCCTAATATATACAAAAAATTTTGTAGATACGTATATGCACATGCATATTTATATACACAAACTGTATTTCAATATACTTGACTTCCTTGTTTTAAATGCTTACGAAAGACAGTCTGACTTAGAAACTGGAGAGCTGGTCTCAGAGTCAGGAAGATGAGTTCAGTTTCCTTCTCCACTGCATACTAACTGTGTGATCCTGAGCAAATTATTTGATCTCTCAGGGCCACCAGGGAACTGTCTCAATTTCAGAGCAGTTGCCAATCTGAATTGGTAGAGGGGTTTTTCACACTGGGAATAATCTATGTCAATAAAATCATAGGTCTGGTCCCAAAGTGTTCTATCCTTCAAGGATGCTGAGAGTGGGGATGGGGAGGACTCTAGGAATGTTGAGATTGAACATAAAAGACCGAAGGGACCAGTGAGAAAGACTTAAGGGACCCCCAGAGAAGTCTCACAGAGGCCCCAGATACCTTTGCCCAGGATGCCCTGAGGCCTGAGGCACTCCTGGGGTTTGAAAGGAACCCAGTCCAAGCTCACTCCCCACCCAGGTCCCACAATTTCTGGATACAGATAAGTCAATATCAACACTGAAAGTATTTCTTCAGGGTCAACTGCCGCCAACTAAATGTGGGACTTTGGACAAGTTCACTTTCTCTGGGTCTCAGTTATACAAAATGAAAAGGTAGAAACAAGGTTCTTTGGTTGTAAGAATGGGGAGCTCTGCCTTGTAGTGCCAACTTTCTTTCCTAAGCCCTTTAAGGAGGAGAACAGAGAAGGACAGGGCCAAGAATGACCAAGGGAGAATAAAGGGAGGCCCTAGCTAGATGGTGCAGGGGATACAGCATGGGGAGTGGAGTCAAAAGACCTGAGTTCAAATCCAGCCTAGGTGTGTGACCCTGGGCAAGTCACTTTGGTTCAGTTTCCTTATCTATAAAATGAGGATAATTAACAGCACCTACCTTCCAGGGTTGTTGTGAGAATCAAATGAGATATTTGTAAAGGCTCAGCACATAGTAAGTACTATATTAGTGCTGCCTATGATGGTAAAGATTATTATTAATTTTAGCAGCTCCAAGACCATGGAGCACCCACACAGTCCTTCCCACAGAGGCTTCAGGGGCTCTTGGGCCACCACAGGTCATGGTGAAAGAGTCTGGAAACAGGCCTACTCTGGATTTTCCTCTTCAACTCCCTAGTCAGTGATAGCATGAAATAGTAAAGACCCTGCAAGTCTTGCACCCTACCCCCACCTGACCCCACAGGAAAGAACTCTGCCAGAGACCTTCCCACCCAATGGGCTAGCTGCTATGCAAGTCTGACCAGGGACACCTTGGTACAATAATCAATCCATCGATAAGCATTTATTAAGCACCTGCTAGGTTCCAGGCACTGGTACTAGAAGGGGATACATTCGAATACATTGAATTAAATGATCCCTATTCCAAAGGAGATGAGGAAAGGAAAGAATATGATAGGATGGAGGCTTGAACCTGAATATAGACAGAATCAGATGCCCCACCTCCAATCAGAGCCACAGGATCCCAGGATATTCTGAATCTTAAAGTCCATTAGGGAGGGAGAGGGAAGAGCTGGGAGAGATAAGCAGCAAGGACTATGGTTCCTAGTCTGTCTCATTTTCTTAAAACCATTCGCTTTGCATATAGGTACAATCTACTAAAGGGTTAGGTCTATACTCCAGGAGGGCAGGGACAGCCAGTCCAAACTTTTCATGCCCCTAGGGTTAGCAGTTCACTCTAAGGGCACAAAAAGCTTTTACTGTTTGACCGTTCTTAACAGCTGACCTGAGACCTCCCTCAATGCATTATTACCTTCCCAAAACAAATAATTTCCCCTCTTAAGGCCCCGGTTTCTATCGGTAAAATAAGGACAACTTGTCTTTTTTTCTTCAAAACTCCCTTTGCCCTTTAAAAAAAAAACAGGCCTAGGATTGCACTAATGGTGGAGAGATTCCCCTCTGCAGGTACAGATAAAGCACCCACTGTGCAGTTTAAAGTTGGGGGATGGGGGATACCAAGTTGTGACTCTCCCAGGGTCACACAGACAGTATGTGTCAGAAGCCAGACTTGCATCCTGGCTTTTCTGACTCTCTATCCACCCCATTCAATGTGTACATCATAGATGCTTAATAAATGTTTGTAGCCTTGATCGAAGGGGCCCTCTAAATTTCCTTTCTAATCCAGTTCCCCCTCTCCAATTCCCCTCCCTCTCCCAAGTTGCGCCAGGGGCTGGGAAGCAAGGTACCTGGGTGTGGCTAACCACCAGCTCCTTCCTTCGGTTCCCTGGAGACCACACCTTCCTCGCAGGCCCAGCAGCAGCACGTGCAGAGCGCTCCAGGGGTGGGCAGTCCCCTGGCCTCAGTGCCCATCCCCGGCTGAGCAGAGTGCCTACTCCCCCCCTTACCTTATCTCGGAGGTCCTCGATAGTCTTCATGTAGGCGCTATAGTCTCGGGCGGGTCCAGGACCCTGTTTCTGGTACCAATCCCGGATCTTGACCTCCAGGTCAGTGTTGGCCTCCTCCAGGGCACGCACCTTGTCCAGGTAGGAGGCCAGACGGTCGTTGAGGTTCTGCATGGTGCTCTTCTCGTTGCCCGCCAGAAGCCCGTCGGCTCCCCCATAGCCCAAGCTGAAACTGCTGCTTCCGCCCCCGTAGCTCCCACTCAGGCCCGAAGAGGCAAAGCGGGACACGGACACGCCCAGGCCTCCCGAGCCTCCGTGGATGCTGGGCGCCCGGAACGCAGCCCCGCTTCCGAAGCGCACAGCGTTGTTGCCCCCCAGCCCCAGGGTGGAGGTGGAGGACGACTGGCGGTAGCTGTAGGAAGTCATGATGGCCTGGGAGGCTAGAGGCTGGGACCCTGGAGGGCAGCTGGACGCTGGTGGGGAACAAGAGAGCGCTTGGAAGTTTAGAGCGGAAAGTGCAGAGGGCCTCACCTGCCTCTTTTTATTGCTGGGGACTGTGGGTGGTGTCAGAGGCGATATCTGAGCCCTGAGGAATTTCCTGGCTGCAGAGTGCAAACATGGGCCCTTTCTCCATTGGTCAGTTCCTGGCTCAGACACACCCAGAACAACCCCCCCCCATTCTCCCCACACTCCTATCTGCCCTCCGTCCCCCTCTCAGATCCCCCATACCCAGAGCCTCCTCTTTCTCTGCCCCCACAGACAAAAGGTACAATGGAGAGGGGTGGGGGAGGGTGGGGAGAGAGCTGCTCTGAACCACAGCTCTCCTGTTATTATTCCCTGGAGACAAAGCTGCCCCACCTTATACCTATGCCAGGCCCATGAGGGACTGCTCTGGGCACTACACCTGGAGCCAGCTGCAGGAGAGTGCTGGGCTGTTCCCTTAGCAATCTTTACTCACCCCAATTTGATGCAGTTGGGAACCCTGTTTCCCAGCCTGTCCAGACCACAGGACCCTTCTCTTTAAATAACACTAACACCCAGCTCCCCTTCCCAAGACTCCCAAGGTCCCAGACCCACTCCTCCTATTCATGCTGGTCCTTGAATTGGAAGTAGGGGTGGAGGGGATTAACCCTTCCGACTTTAGAAGTCCTGTAGTCCATTCTTCCTTTTTTACAGATGATGAAACAGACCCAAAGTCATAAAGGTAGTTAATGATGGAACCAGGATTTGATCCCCCATCCTTGGATTCTAAATCCATTGCCCTTTCCAAGAATGTGTGAAATTCCCCATCCCATTGCCACCCAGATTCCAACTCTGGACTAGACTGGTCCCCAACAAGCAAATCCTGCTGGCCCTGCTCCCGTGCTCACCCCCATCCTCCAAATTGTTCCAAGCTAACTGTTTCCCTGCTCAAGCACACCTTGCTAGGCTCCCCACAACAAGAACCACCCCCTCTACCCCGCAAGCCAACTCCCAGTCCATTTATATCAGAGAAAGTCTTCTTTGTAAGAATCCAGAAGGTGTGTAGAAGAGGGTGAAAAGGAGGGGAGGAAAGAAAAGAAATGGGGCAGAGATCTGAGGAGTACAGTGTGTGGAATGAAGCTGGGGGTGCTGGGCAAGGGCTGCTGGCCCTTTCACAAAGGCTAGACTTGCCTGAACCCTTCTGGCACCATATTATCGGCACTCCTTCCCTTATCTCTCCCTGGGCCAAGCCCCTAGTGAAAGGTATTGAAAGATTTGCTGGTCAGATAGTTACTATAGCCACCTTTGCGGGCCCTGGTGGGGAGTCAGAGCTGCCCCTTCTTCCCAAGAAGACTGAGGAGGAGTCTTGGAATGAGAAAACAAAAAGGCCATTTCCCATTGTCTCCCACACACACCCCTATCTCCACTTAAGATTAGCTCCTAAGTTCCCAGGTTCTGAGCCTCCTCTTAGTCCTGGGACAGGAAGGGAGGATTCCCCCCATAAGAACCAGCAGGAAGCAATTCCCCCATCTGCCTAAATAAGATCCTATATGCTGCAGCTCCATCAGGGGGGCATCAGGAGGTGGATAGAGAACTAAGTTAGCTGAGTCTTCCCCTGATGTCGTGGGTGGATGTGGATGTGCCCCTCAACTTCTCTATGACATCTAGAAGGTAAAAAAAAAAAACCCACCACTCTACCCAAGTCCTTCTGGTTCAATAGAGAAGCCTTGATCTCTACCCATCAAGGGTCCAAGGGTATCTAGCCTGCTACAGACCACACCTAGGGCAGAGCCCTGATTTTAAAAGCTACTTAAATGTTCAAGGTCTCTAGGAAGGAGAAGCTGGTGGCTAAAGGTCTCATTCCCTGGAAGGGAGAGGTATTCGGTGGGAAGGTCATAGTCCTTGGAGGGAATGAAATGGAGTGAAAGAATTGAAGATTAAGTTTGGAAGGGGGAATTTAGGGATCATTGAATCCCCAGGAGTGTGCGTAGCTGGTTAGTGGCAGAAATCTCCTGACTCCTGAGATAAAGGAATATTGAGAAAGGAGTTGGAGTAAAGGTTCCCATGTTTGAGGGGAAGTCAGTCAATAAACATTTATTAAGCACCTACTATATGCCAAACACCGTGCTAAGCACAGGGGGATACAAAGAACGGTAAAAGACAGTCCTTGATTTCAAGGAATTCGGTGAAAGGGATGAGACAACATTACAGAGATCTGCAAACAAGATAGGGACAGGATAAATTGGAGATAGTTGACTGAGGGGCAGCTAGGTGGTACAGTGGATAGAGCATGAGCCCTAGAGTCAGGAGGACCTGAGTTCAAATTTGGACTCCAACACTTACTAGCTGTGTGACCCTGGACAAGTCACTTAACTTTGATTGCCTCAAAAAGAAAAAAAAAGAAAAGAAATACTTGATAAAGAGAAGACCCTAGAATTAAGGGGGATCATGAAAAGTTTCCTATAGAAAGTGAGGTTTTAGCTGGAACTTGAAGAAACCAGGAGGCAGAGATGAGGAAGGAGAGCATTCCAAACACGGGGGACAGTCAGAGAAATGCCTGGAACTAAGAGATGGAGTGTCTTGTTTGTGGAACGGCCAAGAGGCCAGTGTCACTAGATCAAAGGGGATGGGGATGTAAGATTTAAGAAGTACTCCTCAAAGAGTATGAGGGGTGTAAGATGTAAGAAGACTGGAAATGGGGAGGGGAGGTAGGTCCCGAAGGACTTCAAACACCTACCAAAGGATTTTGTATTGGATCTTGGAAGTGATAGTAGGTAGTGGGATTTATTGATAGGAGAGGTGACACGGTCAGACCTACACATTAGGAAAATCACTTTGGTGGCTAAAGGTAGGGTGGACTAGAGTAGAGAGAGATTTGTGGCAAGCAGACCAAGCAGGAAGCTATTGCAGTAATGCAGATGTGAGGTAATGAGGACCTACACCAGAATAGTGGAAGTGTCAGAGGAAAGAAGGGGGAATATAGTAGAGATACTTCAAAAGTGAAATTAACAAGCCTTGGGAAAAAAAATGGATATGGAGTAGGATGAGAAAGGATGAGGAGTTGAGGAAGAAATTTAGGGTTAGAGAGGAAGAGAGAGCTTAAGAGTGAGGGAGGTCTTCCCTTCTCCTTGAAGGAAAAAGGTCAATTACAGCTTAGAGAATAGGGACCTAAGACCTGAAGGGGAGAGGCATGGAATACAAGTGCCAGTCCTAAAGTGGAAGGAAACAGAATTGGAGGAGTTCCCTTCTATGTAGAAAGTCAACGGGGGTAGACAAGGGGGAGAGAACTTGAAAATCTACTGCTCTTTCTCACTGAAAATTGATAATAGTAGTACTAATTTGGTAGGTTGTGTCATGCTATGGATAGCATGCTGGAATCAGAAGACCTGGGTTCAAATTCTAGCTCACTGACATTAGCTATGAAACCTTGGGCTAATAATCATTCAATCCCCAGGTAACTCTCTAAGACGATAAATCATAGGTGCTCTAAGGTCTGTTGGTGGAAATAGTTCCTACAAACCATGAAATCATAGCTATTGACATGATGATGACAATTCATATCCTCCAAAGGTCGAGGGCACCGCCATCTTTCCAAGTTGTACTTGACTCCTCATCTATACATCAATCAGTTGCCAAATCTTCCATCCTATTTTTGAAGCAGCTGTCCCCCTCTCTCTACTCACACCACCGCCTTCCTAGTTCAGACCCTCTTCACCGCTTTCCTGGACTGTTACACTAACCTTCTCCTTGCTCTCCCTGCCTCAACTCTCCATGCACCTCTGCACACAGCTGCCAAGTTCATGTTTCTAACACCATCTCTGATCATCTCATTATCCTGAACAATCAACTCCTGCAGTCCCTTTTTACCCTTCTTCCTGTTGTTTAGTCATGCAGTTGTGCCCATGTGACCCCATTTGGGGTTTACTTGGCAAAGACACTGGAGTGGTTTGCCTTTCCCTTCTCCAGCTCATTTTATAGACGAGAAAACTGAGGCAAACAGAGTTAAGTGATTTGCCCAGGGTCACACAGGTAGTCAGTGTCTGAAGTTGGATGTGAACTCAGGTCTTCCTGACTTCAGGCCCAGTGCTCCATCCACTGCACCACCTAGCTGCCCTTGGTACATAGCCTGTGCTTAATAAATACTTTTTCACTCATTCATTCCCTGTTACTCATGTCCCTAGGCATCTGCTCTCTATGGAAGTCATTGATAAACCTCTGGTCTCTGTCACCAGAGCACTGTTTGTCCAAGTTTTGAAGCATCAGGCACTTACAGTGCAGGACAACATATAAATGTTCAGGGGCTTCAGGTCACGGCTATGTTCCTTCTCTCCACTCCCCTCCAAGGGTGGTAGAGAAGGCTGCACCCCGGCCTAGAGCCCGTTGTTTTCTTGCAAGTCCCTCAGTGTGTCCTAGAGGTTCCCTTTCCTGTCCCCAGCCCCCTCTTTGTGACCTGTTAGCTGTTACACTCTGGCTGTGTGTTGTGGGTGGGGCTCCCCTCACTCCACCTTCCCAGCAGATCCATGTCATTTCCAGAAGAAAGAAACAACAGACCCAGGGGAAGGGGAGCTGGTGATGTAGTTCATGGAAGGTTCTCACTGTCCTCTTACAGCCCCCAGGGAGTAAAAACCAGCCTAACTAGAAATTGGAGCTGAAATTGGAGCCAAAATCTTGGGGGAGGGGGCACTAGGAGGGAGGGAGAAGATGGTCAAGGAGGAAGGAGCTCAGCTGCTGTTCTGGGCCAGTGCTAGAAGAGGGTGTGGCTCACACCAACCTCGTGCCCAAGTGCTACATTTTCTAGCTAAACTAGGCTGGGACTGGAGCAAGCCCTTTGGCTATTCATTTGACTTTTCCAATATTCAGTTGACTTTTCCAGAGCATGCCCCATCCCCCAAGCCTCCTACCCCCATCCCCCACCTTCCCTAAGCTGTGCTTGCACGCAGTCACTCAGGGATGATCTCTCACTATTCTGTGGGAAGAGGAGAGGAGAGAAGTAGAGAATCAGAATAGGAAAAGAAAATCTAGACATGATCAGAGAGAGCAGGTCTCTGTCTGCCCTGCTCTGCTCTGCCC